TAGAAATTCCGATAAAGTATGTTACATTCAAATAGTTCTGCTTTTGAAATTTTGAAAATGACATTTCTAATTTATTTGCTACTTGTGTACACAACTAATTCCTTTATTGTCCTGCGTTTTATTGGGCAAATTTGTTTTATTTTTTATGGTCTATATTTTTACAAATATAAGTTTTGGAAGATTAAACACAAAATAGGCTAAAACAAAATTCAAACATTTTGTTTAAAAAATCTCAAAAAACTACATTGTTCATATTCATTTCTAAAATCTGCGTTAGAGAAGAACAAAAACGAGGATAACATATGTTACATTGAAATAAATATCAATAATATCTAAATAAATTAAAGAATAACATATTTCTCTTCTTTTCGGTCTTGATAATTGCATTTTTCTATTTTCTGAAGAAAAAAAAACTCTACCCTTTTTTTTTAAATTACGATTAAAATATTTTACGCATAAAGATATTATTACCCATGGAGTGCGATCTTTATGCTTTATTACAGAAAGACTCGAAGAAAAGAAGAAAATGTATCCCGGTTTACAAAGAGTTTGAAATTTATGGTTTATCTCTATGCAAATATTAAAGAAGGGTGACAATCCATATATAAAATAGCGAGGTCTGAAAGAGAAAAAAATATGGTGTTTGATATACATAATTTTGTTCCATACTTACTTACTTATACTCTTCAACCAGAATGGGACATACGGCTACCACAAGCTTCTTCCATTTTCCCCTGTCCTTTGCCACATGCTTGACACCCCCCCCCCCCCCCCCATTTTTAAACGAACATTGAACTACTCAACTATTTTATGAATGTCAATGTATAAACAGTTGGTCTTATCATTTGTTAAAACTGACTTTATAGACATTTTTGCTTAAAAACTTCAAAACGCTTTTTCAGCAATTACTGAAATGTATGATGCCAATTTAGCAAATTTCAACTTGATGTAGCTGTGTTTAAACTCGAATTTGTCATACAAACTTGGAATTTACAAGATAGGAATCTGCACTTATTATTAACTTATTAAGATTACCATGTAGCTCAAGTCACTGCTTACACAGTAAAACCGTTAATATACTTTTGCAACTCTAGCAGAAAATATGCTTAAAATTGGCACTCATACCACATCTTCTTATATCTATTTAAAAACTCCAAAAAGGAACAATTAGACATAATTTATAAACGGAGTGAAAATGTTATTGCGCATCCCTCATGTTTGTCCGTTTAAGAGATGTTAACTACTGAAAAACTGAATGGTTTCCTTTTCGTAGGTATACTTTTTGTCCTATTTTGGTAATCAGCTCTTAAATTTTTTACTAAGGTTTGAATTTTCAAATATTTTGGCCTTGGGCATCACTGAAGGGACACAGATTGTCGAAATGCTCATATGTTGCAGTAAAATTGTGTTACGTTAATGTTATTACTACCACTGGGTCGATTGCTCTGCTGATGGACTATTGGTCCCCGAGGTTATCACCAGCCCAGTAGCCAGTACTTCGGTACTGGCATGCAAGAACGTATATTGTGTTATTAAAATTTACTGTCACAAAATTTTTGAAATCAACTTGAATTAAGTAATATATCTCCCTCATGTTATTAATACCTTCATCACCTAGTTAATGTGTATACTGTTACATGTATAACAAATAGTTACCTGTTCAAGTCTGTGTTAAATACATTGACTTTCGCTACACAAGCACTGTCTCATTAACTGCTAAATCACTGTTATATTCAGTCTTACCTGACAATATCGCTACAGAAATTTAACGGAATGCATCACGAATATATCTGGTTGTGCCAACGATTGTGTAAGACACTTGTTTCCGAAACCTCTATACGCGCTTATACCGGTTTCTTCTCATACCGAATTTGACTCCTTTCCGGCTTTGTAATTTGTTTTAAATCTAAATAGGAAGATGTGGTATGAGTGCCAATGAGACAACTATCCATCCAAGTCACAATGCGTAAAAAGTAAACAATTATATGTCAAAGTACGGCATTCAACACGGAGCCTTGGCTCACACCAAACAGCAAGCTATAAAAGGCCCCAAAAAGACTAATGTAAAACAATTCAAACAGGAAAACCAACGGTCTAATTTATATAAAAAACGAGAAACGAGAAACACTTATGAACCACACCAACAAACGACATCCACTGAACAACAGGCTCCTGACTAAGGACAGGTGCATAAAAATGCAGCGGGTTTAAACGTTTTATCAGGCGCCAACCTTCACCCTAACATGAAACAGTGGTATAACATTACAACATAAAAAGACACACAATAAAATAGCAATTGAAATGGCTTAACTCGATCAAAAAGACAATACAAAAAAGCAAGTAAATATACATCGAACGAATAAGTTTGATCTATGACACAATAAAGGCTTTTTTTGGTGGTTTGTCATTTTTTCTTCGATTATATTGCTGTTTGTCTTTCTTCGACTAATGGTATTGGAAAACCTTCTTGCTATCTTCTTTCTTTTTGAACATTAAACAGTTTTACAGGTGAAAAATGCTAAACTTTTCCTGAGTACCTGAAACAGAATATATGAATCCTTGTTTATATAATAACATAGGTCAAACTATACCAAAATAATACAACCTAACATGACATTTTCATCAAAATTTTCCTCCCGACAACTTTCTAATTTATGATTTGCAAATGGATCTTTCCTAAAGCATATGATTAATAGATTTGGGAAATAAAATAAATAAGAAAATTGATTTGTCAGCGATGAATTCACAGCTGCATGTAATATATCATAAAGGTTTTAAATAAATCAAATAATTTGTGCCAAATTAGACACTTAACGTACCTTGTGTTCATTTAAGAAAGTGATTGCGTTATACAAGGATTAGCTAGGCTCGTATTTGTATCACAATCTGCTGAAATATGTAAATTATCATTTTATAAAAGGACAACCGTAACATTTTGCACGTTTTCTTTTAAAGAGATAATCAGGTTACAGGTTGTTGACAATATATAGAGGATCAGTGGACTACGTAATTCAAACATATTTTACCTACACTTTTGTACTTAATTATCTATTCATTAATTGAAAACATTTGTTCAATCGACTCTTTTCATAAACCGAAACAAAATCTGTCATGCCAATTCAACACTGTAATTAGATCTTTTAATATTGTTTTTTGTTGGTATAAATATTGATTTTATTATCAATAAATTAAAAACTAAGTTAAACTTATTATTGTTGCTATACACTGTGTACATTCACGATCTTACAATCTGTTCATACCTATATTTTTGCATTGCACAAGGTCATGTTTTTGTCTGACCGTTAATGACGTCTATGTACTAAATCCATTGGATGCTGGATGTGTAGTGATTGCTATTTAAGTCTTCGATACATGATTTTTTTATTTGTTGTTAATGGCTTTGAACTAGATTTCAGTTACTGCGAGTACTCTCAGATCTGCACTTTGTGTCTTTGGTCTTTGTTAGTTGTTTTTGTGCTTTGTATCGATCTGATGGGTGAAGTCCTTCGGAAATAAATTTTATGGTTTGTTTTTATGTTGAACTGTTACACGAATGTCCCAGGTTACGGGAGGGTTGGGTGCCCGCAAACATGTATAATCCCGCCACATTTTGTACGTGTCTGTTCCAAGTTAGGAGCCTGCAATTCAGTGGTTGTATAGTTTGTTGCTGTTTATGATGTTTGTTTTTCGTTTTTTGTTTTGTACATAAACCAGGCCGTTAGTTTTCTCGTTTGATTTGTTTTACATTTGTCATTTCGGGGTCGTTTATAGCTTGTTATGCGGAATGGGTTTTGCTCATTGTTGAAAGCGTAAGGTGATCCATAGTTGCTAACTTCTACATCATTTGGTCCCGGTGGATGGTTGTCTCATTTGCAATCATACCACATCTTCTTATTTTTATATAACAGACACGTGCCTTTGTGACGACATTTTCCAATATGTGTTCCTACACTTCTTTTAAAAAAAAAGGAACGAACTTCACTACAAACTTTCCTAAATTAATTCTAAAAATGATTATCTGGAACTTGGGAATAGGATCTTTATTGATGAATCCAAGCAAATCCTTTCCAAAGCTTTATTGATTTTTTTTCATCTTAAAATTACTCCAAAATTTATTTTATGTTTTGATCCTGATTGACTTTATTAAATCCCTTGTGTATAGCAGCATGTGGTTCGATGCTCAAATAGCTTTAGGAAAAAAGAGTGCGACAAGTGAAGGTACCTTTGAGGTTAACATGCGAATGATTAGAAAATCTCGAAATTTCCCGGAATGTATACATAAAATTGAGAATGGAAATGGGGAATGTGTCAAAGAGACAACAACCCGACCATAGAGCATATGTATGACTTAGACAAATGTCTTCAATCTATGAATTCAACTTGCTATACACAAAGTTTACTCATAATATTCTCCGCAAGGCGCCAATAGAAATTCTGAAAATTTATCTACACATGTACAGTATCCATTGCACTATGAAATGTGCTCACTTGAGACAACGGACCTGTTGATAAATTAATGATAAGATTTGGTATGATATCCAATGAGACAACAATTTACCAAAAGATCAAACTTTTAAGGGCAACGATGTAAACACTTGTAGAATGTACGAAATAAACATTTATTTATAATAATAAAAATGGCACCCAACAATAATAAGTAACGAAAGAAAAACTACATGTAACTTTAGGCGTTTTGCGCGTAACTTAAAAATCTTGAGCGCACAACCTTTGGAATTGTGTGTTCAACTTTTAAAATCGTTTACAATGTGCGTGTCGTGTTCGTTAATGATGCAACACAGAAATAAACCAAAATAAAAAAACAAATGACAAAAGAGATTTTCTGTTGCGGCTATATTGTAATTCGCATAACACCTTCTGTTACATCTAGCCAGATTCATTAATCGGTATTAAGGTCTATCGAATAATATATATATATAATATCAGAAAAAAACAAATATTATAAATAATCATTATTTTTTGTTTGAATTTTGTTATTGGTTATTACACAATAACAGTATGGTTATTACACAATAACTGTATACACCGGAATATTTCTTGCGTTGAAGTTCAGCAGATCAGAATGGCTACAATAGATATATTTGTATATCTTGTTTTTTGTGGCCTTGTAACCGGAGGTTATCGTAAGTTATTCTTTCATTGCTCTCTACTTTGATTAACACTTCATAACATGACTTACACAGATATTTGCAAATTCTAGTGCAGCTTTCGTTTATGATATGCATAATATTTTAAATACCCAGCTCGTCTTTCCTTTAACCATAAACAGCTTGTAATAGAGTAAACTTATGCATGAAAATGAACAAGAACGAGGTAATGTCAGTAAATGACCCATCTAGAAAGTAAACCACTGTGTTCATAATTTTGCGTAGTACGTGTCAGTATATGACCCATCTTGAAAGAAAACCAATGTTTTCATAATTTTGCGTATAGTATGGTCAGTATGAGATTAATGTAATGATTTATTCATGATTTTTTTGGTGATAAATCTTCATATGAATTCACATTCAATTACAGATGTGAATAACGATAACATTTTTAAAGTGTTGGAGAAAATTGGAACGACTGTCAGTAGAGAAACTTGTACCAGTTTATCACCAGATGAAGAGTTAGATATTGCCGTAGATTTTTCTAAGTGGGAAGAATATGCTGATTTAGCTATCTTTAATTCAAACTACTTGTCTGCACAGATCCAGAAACACGGAGGTTCACTAGAAACGTTTCATGAATCTTTATGTCACGACTTAGTAACAAATTTAGTGGTAACAGCTAAACCCGAAATACTTAGCGGAGTTGTCGAATTTGCACCGGGTGTGTTTAAAAATTATGAACTGTTTGCAGCTTTTGCCGTAAATACTAATGGAACTGTGGAGTCTCTAGAGTTAGGAAATTTCTATAATTACACAAACGATAGCCTGGTCAACGAATGGTACAGTGTTCTTAGAGACAGAAATTATGAGAATGTGGCAATAGACCGCACTAAAACAACTTTCAGGTTATATTGTTTTACAAATATCTTTTTAGTGATATAATTCTAGGTTGACCACATTTTTATGAAAGACTTCAAGGTGTACCAATAAAAATCATCCTTTAAGATGCCCCATGCTACTGTTTTCATGAACGTCCTTGTTTCCTAAAGAAAAAACTAGAAATGCACATGAATCGATTAAAATATAATCTAAATTTAAGAAATTATTTTTTATCTTTCTTTTGAATGTTCATTCTATTCAATTGTTTTACTTCTTGTTCCTTTGTTACATGTGTCGTATTATAGCTCTGTAGTACTTTTAATGACGTAACTAATTTGCTTGTCTTTGTACCATTGTATCGAGAGGGATTGTCGGACATAAAATTCGAATATCGAGTTTGTTAATATTGTGTGTCTAGGAATGCTAAATAAGGAAAGCAGTTTGCAGAATAAAAATATTGCCAAAAGCAATCTTTGAATAAAACTTGCGTCTTCGAAGTAATAATGTAATGTTCATACTTGTCTTACTGTATTTTTGTCTTTATTTAGAAATGGAACCATTATAGAGGCAGACCTTTTGGTCGCCCGTAGAGATGATGGTCATATAACTAAGCCATACTATGATTGCGGAGGAGGTCACGTCTGGATGTTTACATACTCATCTCCAATCTTAGGCAGAAATACTGACGGGTCACCCAAATTTAAGTAAGAAAAAAGAAAGGTGTAAATGAATGCCTTTTTTATAATTTGTGCACAATAACGCCAGCGAAGAGTGTGATACTAGTGATCGAGTTGTACGTTTCAGTCGTTTAACTTGTGTTTTATCTTTTCCATTTGAACAAATACCTGTATTTCCGTATACCAATTTTCGTTTTCTGTATACCCAAGGGTTGACAGAGGTATACAGAAATTGTCAACCCTGGACTTCTTAAAACCCATGCAACATATGCTGATTGTCGTCCGTTTGGTTGTGTGGGATGTATATGTACGCAGTTACATTCGATCAGAATTGGGACTTTTAATCCTATGCCTCTTGTAGGGAAAGTGCGTACGCTCACTTCACTTTAAAGAACCTTACCATTGCTCTTTGTTCTGTCCATAGGTAACCTGTTGCAGAGGAAAGTTTTTGGCTCTATCCAAAATACAACCATTTTCAATTGGCAGTCAAAATAGTCGCCGCTCAGTCCAGTGCTGGTTTGCAAGTGTGTTTAAATTTAAAAAGCTTCAATTTTCAAATTTATAGGCAAAAAAATTGTTTGACTTTGTAAACATTGAACCGAAGTTGACTGAGATCCAAATGGCATTATATAATATAAAAATAAATGTGGTATGTTTGCCAATGAGACAATTATCCATCAAAGTTCAAATGAAGTGGATGGTCCTCAACATCCGAAAATGAGTAGCTTCAAATTATTGCCATGGAACTTTTCCATTCAACTATATGAAATTTTAAATTTCTATTGAAATTCATTGTGAATAATAGGTAACTGTGGTGTGTACAATGGCTGCTACCAGCCAATAAAAGACACAGTGAATGAAAATCTTCAGATATGATAAAATAAAAGAAAAACAAAATCTATTAAGAAGACAGCAACAAGTAGGGTTCTGGCTAATACAAACTCTACACAAACGTCTTTTGTATATCAGGTTATATCAGGTACTCAGGTAATCGTATGCTGCTTCGCGATATAAATATTAAATACCCATAAAGACAGATTTCTTTTGTTTATGAAATTTTATTTTGTGTTCACAAGACTCTTGAATAATACAGTGTTTTATTTTTTGTGAGCCTAAATGAGTTCATCCCCTTATTAAATGAGTACCCACTGAAGGTCTTGAGCTAACATGGCCGTTCTATGGTTCTAAGATACCGAAATTGATTGGTTACTATTTTATTTAACAGAGGAGTAGCTACGATAGATATAGAGCTTACAGATAAAGACATCAACCAATGTGACCTTGAATATGAAGATGACACTGTTGATTTATTCTTTAATGTATTTAGAGGAACTCATAAATGTCCAATAGAAACCACGGTAAAACACCATTTTATTACATATTCTAAATATACCTGTTCCCTAATATCAATACGTGTCTTCTGGATTTATGTGAACCTTGTGAAAAAGGTATACACGTATATGAGCTGTTACTGTTATGTTTTTGTCACACGTGTAAACATTAGCATACATCTTCTTGAAAGTCATTCGTTAATGAAAAATATAAGCTCTGTTAATATCAATTAAGGAATCACAGAAAGTATGTATTCTTTCATAATTGACTGCATTTTTAGTGATGGATTGGAATGGTATGACTGCTTTCGAATTGTTATTGTTGTTATTTGTATATATATTTTTTATTCCAGTGTCATTTCCGTCCGGGATTAGGATTCAAAGTAGGTGGCTATTTCTGTATCTGCAATGAAGGATTTTATTATCAAGGAGTGTACAGTGGCTTCAGTGGAGAAGAAGTGGAGAAAGCCTCGGACTTGTCAAGTTTTAGATGTGAAATGTAAGGCTATTATATTGTGTTCATAAATATTGCTTAAAGTTACTGCAATCTTCTAAAACCAAAAAGCATGAATTTCGAAAAGTACTTTGTTTTGACTGATTTTTTGGGATAACGGTGGGGATTAGCGCTACTTTAAGGAAACTTTTCATTTACAGTCTCATGACAATCAGTTTCATACAGGAACAGTATTTAATTGGAAACTTAAGGTCAATCGAAATCAACGGAAAGTTGCTGTTTTAACAAAACAGGATCGTGTATTTTAATTTCACCCTGCTGTACACGTCAGATAGCTTTGATTTTGATTGTTGTTAAATTAGCATATAGATCTAGGATCATATGTGTGCTATTTGCTCATACTGCTAAAAAGCAAATTGTCCATGAGGAATACGACGACTTTGATTTCACTACATTTTGAAATGATTACACAAAGTAGATTTCTTTAAATCAGCAAAAGACACAAATTTTCTTTAAACTCAAATTCCGGACGCATTACACCTCTGCATAATTTCGCGTGCAACCCCGTCACGTGATACGCTTTCCGATTCCCTCGAGATCGATTAAGAAGTTTTTAATTTACACGCTGCAGCGAACAAATTAAAGAAATACCTCATATCACGTTCATAAAACAATAAAATAAATTTCTATATATTTAATTTATCGGACTATTCTTTGTGGTTTAAAGATTTTGCTTTAAAAAAAACTGAGGCCAATAACTTATTACATCATTTATTATGTGTGGTGGTAATATGGATAATGATTATGGACAAGTTCTAACATTGGATTGTGACAATAATGAGTAAGAAAATGATGATGGATGGCTAATTAATGTCCAGTGGCAAATTAAATGCATAGTCAGGACGAGAACATACTAATGCGATATGAATAAGAATCCTGCTTTGCACTAAACCGACACGCTGAGTCGGAATTTTAACGGTGTAGTTCACAAGTTCGGAAGAAAGATATGTCACGCTACCCGGATACATTATTTTGACTCCGAGCCGACCAGTGTTTTTTCTTTCTCCTTAATGTCGCGTGTTTAAATAGCTTATAGGCAGCCAATACCAATTTGTTAGTCTTCGGTTTGACCCGATCCGGGATCGAACCCAAGACCTCTCGCACTCGAGGCGAACACGTTGTCACGAGACCACCGAGACATTATTATAAAGAATACAGGTAAAACAAATACTACAGCCAATACATATTGTGATACTTTCTATCAACCAGCCTATTTTATTGACAGGAAACACCATGGCTACAGATCATCATTCGGCTCTGATTCTCATGACCGTCAATCTGGAAGATATTTCCCATTGAATTCCGCTGATTCAGATGTGTATTATACAAATCCTTCTATGGAGTGAGAAAAATATGTGATCTTTTGAGCTGAACCGTTTAAAAATAAACATCGTCTAATTTTCCCGACCTTCAATAAAAAAGAAGTTAAACAGACTTAGTTTATTCGTTATTTTTAGAATGAATGCCCTATAGTAAAAGGTATTCACAGCCTGATATGATGAACAACACGAATCAATAGCAGAGGAAAAAAGTGTACTTAAATTTTTCTTATGAACTTGTATTAAGGGGGAGAGAAACGGGTATCACAAATAAAATCCTCTCGTTTCGTTGTTCTTATATTTACATCACCTGAGAACACATGTCATACATAATATGAATATAAGAAGATGTTGCATGATTGCTAATGGGACAACTACCCATCATAGACCAAAATGACGTATTTGTAAGCAAATATAATGGGTCACCGCACGACTTTCCATAGTGAGCAAAACCCATACCGTATAGTAAGCTATAAAAGGCCCCGACATGACATAAGATTGATATCTTTCCTCAAAACTAGATGTACCCATCAACAATTACAGATTCGAAACTTAATGTTTTATAACCTTAATAAACAATTTGTTAATCTTTAAGTACAAAATGTAGTATCTTTCTGCTGATGTAGTTAAACTTGTTAGTATTAGCTTATATGGTTATTCAGGTCATATCTCAAGAACATGGCTGTTTGTATTTCAAGACTTAACTCTTAGCATTGAACCAATACACCTTCACTGTTTTACGAATAATATTTGGGAGGGGGTAGGATCACCATATCCCAACTTTGGCCCTCAGCTACAGGCGTTCAATGAATTTACCCACCTAATCCTTTTGGTCCGGGCAACTATGGAGCATTGCCGATCATTTGTACCTAGCTGGGACAGTATATATAGTGTGGACAAAAAACTTTTCAGTAGGGATTGTTTTGCGAATAAAAGTTCGGAGAGGTAGGGTCACCATATCCCAACTTTGGCCCCCAGTTGTAGGCGTTCCGTGAATGAATACCTAGGGCTTTTGATCCGGGCAACATTAGGGCATTGCCGACCATTTGTGCATGTACTAGTACCTATTGTAGACAAAAGCTTTTTCGTAGGGATTTTTTTACAAATAAAAGTTGGGATGGGGTAGGGTCACCATCCCAAACACTGGGTCCCAGTTGCAGGCGTGACATGAAGCTACCCACCTGTGCCAGACCTCAACTATGGACTATTTCCAGCTGATTGTTTCAATGTTGAACTGAACTAGTTTTTATTGTTGTTATTACACCCTTTTCACCCTTTTCTTATTAATTAATAGCTCTACTTTTAACTTTTTGAAAATCCTATTAGAGATGCCCGGCTGTCAAAACATATTATGTTGTACATGTATTAGATAAACAAATAACTAATCATTTTTGTCATAGTGAAAATGTATTGCATTTCGTCTTTCTACTGGAAATGATTATCATCAGATTTCAAAAGAAATTGATGTTTTTGCAAGTCTTCGGTTTTGGGGCATGATCAGTTTGGCGCGTTTTTCTTATTGTTAACGGTGTCAGAATTAGTTAAATTTTTCTGAGGCAGTTGGACCATCCTCGCAACCCAATGTGAATGTGAACAATTATTTTTGAGAGATGTTTATAATCACTTTTATAATAACTACCAGGTAAAACACACAAGTTTAACAGAGGCGAAAGGTACAAAAGGAATATTCAAACTGGTAAGGCCGAAAACAAACTGACAATGACATTGCAAACACGAAAATACTAACAACAGTATACAAAACACAACATAGAAGATTAAAGATTGAGCAACACGAACCCCATTTAAAACCGGAGGTGATCTCAGCTGCTTGAAAGGCTTAAATGTTTTTACTTTTTTTGCAATTTCAGGGCCAAGTAATGATTTATGAATAACAAAACAAAACAAAACAAAACAGAAAAAAAAAAAACAGAAAAAAAAACAAAAACCCCAATAAACAAAAACCAAAAAACAAAACAATAAAAATTAGCAAAACAAATAAAACACCATATAATACCGGCGTCACACATCAGCGTATAGCACCGACGTACGCCGGGCGTTGTCAAAAACAATGTACGCTGCCAATACGCTAGTAATTTTAGACGCATTTAACTTGTCAATCATATCTGTATCGTGTGCACAACGAGCTTTAAGCGTGTTTAGGGCGTACGAGAGGCGTACATAAGCGTTTATCGGGCGTTCAAGTAAGGTATTTTGGCGTATGTCTGGCGTTTGTCTAACGTAGATGAAATGCACGCTACGAAAAAAAAAGTCCCTTGAACGTATTTGAGACGCGTCCCGGTCGTACCTGGGATGATTATCCGTGCTTTCGGCGTGTCTGGGACGTGTAATTATGGGGGTGTTTGTACTACTTCTGGATACACATGGTCTTGTGTTCCCGCCTTTTTCATAACAATTCATTTCGAAATGCCACCCAAAGGAAGAAACAGAGGTAAACCAGTTCTTGGTCGTGGCCTGGGCCGTGGGATGATGAGAACGTCGGGAACAAGAAAGAGAGTGCAAGAAGAGAATACTGGGGACCAGATTCAAGAATTCAGTCTACCAAGTCTTTCAAGTTCAAGTCATCCTGTTAGTCCAGTTTGGTTTTTGTCTCGCCTGCGTCGAAAGACGCTGAAGGCGAGACATATGTATAGTAATACCGGCGGCGGCGGCGGCGTGAACAGGTTGGTGAAAGCTTTATAACTCAGTTGGAAGATGACCTAGACCATCCATATTTCATCCATGTTTGCAAGCTTTCTGTCCATCACATGTCAGATGTCCTTGATTTCATTTTCATGGTTGAATGACTTTGTTTATTCTGCGACCAGTTTTCGTGATTAGGACAGTTTCTCAGTTCATAGAGTACCTAGAGTTATGGTAATTGGTCTATAGACTCCTCAGTAGGTGCCCATGTCAGTCTGACATATGTCACTAAACCTTGACCTTGTTTTCATGCTCCAGTGATCAATTAAGAATTTTATATTCAGACATGCCAGTAAGCAGGCGAGACATTTTAGCGTGTCCACTCTTGTGAAGACTTTGCACTGCAGACTTTCTTCTTTTACCATATATCACAATATTGATGTGCATGAAGTCATACTGTTCCTGTGTGCATGGGTGAATTACGAAGTATGAAAGAATGTTTTCAATTATAACCAAGACAAGTGATGGTAAACATAACTTATTAAACCATTTTACAGATGTGATCAATTTATTTTTCAATTATTATTCATGTCTCATATCATTCTGTCCTGCCAGGCAACTGATCCAGCAGGCGAGTTTATCCAGTGCTTGATAAGGTTCCTCTGCATTTTTCCTCTCTTACTGTCAATATTAGCTGCTGTAACATTCTGGGTATCCTACAGATTCGGTCCCTGCCTCCAAGCTCCTGGAATTAAATTCCTGTTGATGGGGTGTTCACAATCTAGTTGTTGGTCCTGAAGCCCAGGATAGCGAATTCTCATCAGATTGTGTAGAATAATGCATGTCTTCACTATCAGACGAACTGTTGATGGGGAATGACCCATTGTTGAGAGAAGAATTCGGAATCTGTTTGCCAAAATACCAAACGCGTTCTCCACAACACGCCTTGCTCGCGATAGTCTATAACTGAATATACGTTCTTCTCTGTCCATTGTCCTACGAGAGTAGGGTTTCATCATCGTCGTTCTTAGGGCAAATGCGTCATCTCCAATGAAATAGTAGGGAACGTCTTCGGTATCATTTGGAAGAGGCTCGGCATCGGGGAAGCCTATGCTTCCATCTTCCGCTGCTTCTCTTAATTCGGACTCATTATACATCTGAGCATCAGAACAGGCACCGTTTCCTAAAATGTAGGGATAATATGAAATTATCGCAAAAAGTTTCATATATAAAGAAATATAAAATCTCATGATAACTTTTTACTAATGTATATATGTAAATTTTTGAGTGACTTACATGTATGCTAAAATAAATGTCAGAAAAAAAAGTAAAATAGCAAAAATACAGAACTCCAAGGAAAATTCAAAACGGAAAGTCCTTTATCAAATGGCAAAATCAAAAGCTCAAACACATTAAACGAATGAAAAACAACTGTCATATTCCTGACTAGGTAAAGGCATTTCCTTATGTAGAAAATGGTGGATTAAACCTGGTTTTATAGCTAGCTAAACTTCTCACTTGTATGACAGTCGCATAGAATTCCATTATATTGACAACAATGTGTGAGATACCGAGGTTAACTAATTTTGCCACGAATGACACGTGTTTCGACTTTTGAGATTTCGTCAGATTCGTTCAATATATATAGATTCTACCACTGCATCGAGTGTGATACGATATTTATCCACTCGAGACAGTTAAATTTTCAAATTTAAAACGCGAGGCTCGCCGAGCGTTTTAAATATTTAGAATTTAACTGTCGAGAGTGGATAAATATCGTATTACACGAGATTTGGTTGTTGAATCTGTTTCTCTAATGATTTTCAAACAATATGCAGGCAAACTTATTTCTTCTTTTTGAATGATCTGCAAAAAGATGTGTTCTTTCTATGTGACGTCATCAGGCATGGTCGCCTTTTTTCATGCCGTCACAATAGGAAATTCAGAGGGAAGCAAGAAAATTCGACGTCATAATCGAATTTTAACCAATGAATAACTGAGATCAAACGAACCACACGTTGATTAATTTTTTTTTATACAATTGGTGCAGAAAGGGATAAATTGACGAAGAATTAGAGAAATATATATATATATATATACGAGGATCTGTTGCTTCGTTTGTGCTGCTCTTTGATTTCCCTTTGTTTTATGGATTGGACGCTTTGCTTATTTACGAAGTTGTTATATTAGATTCTAAAACAGTATTACAAGCAATAAAATTTGTAAGTTTTTTCAAACGTTTTAAAGGACTTTTACATAAAATTATATTTATATCTTACCTCCAACATCTGCCCATATAACTTGTAATCACCATCAATCAAAGATAGCATGACTATGGAGAAGAATCCCTTATAGTTGTGGTATAATGAACCTGAACGAGCCTGTTTCTTTATGGCAATATATGCTTTCCATCCAACACTCCACAGCAATGTGGAAAATGCCATCTGCGCATAATTGATC